CTTGAGGTTCGCCAATGCCGGCAGGCAGTTGGCGAACACATCCTGAATCTCCGCATCGTATGTCAGGCCTCATGCAGATTTGGAGTGCATGCTGCAGTAGAGGAACACATGTGTGCACGTGCTCGGCCTTCTTGCTGGATTTGGCCCCGCACAGAGAGCAAGGAGTCGAAACTGAGCCCACCCACGCTGCACAAAGAAGTTGCACTTTAGGCTGCACGTCACGCCAAAGCTCACTGTGCTGGCGTTGCATGTGCGTTTTGTAACGCTGTTTGGAAAGGTCTGCACGACAGATCTGACATGTACCGAGCATTGGTTTTACCTCCTCAGCTGAAGGATAAGGCTCATCGCTCGGCGCCGTCATGTCAGCGGCATCCTTGGGACCTCCATTAACGAACCATGACATTGCCAACTGAAACAAGGCCGGGCATGTGGCACGATGATCCCTGCCTGGTTGGGCCTTGTGTCCGCACCACTGACATGTCCCTTTGATGGGGGCAAGGTTGTTGGTGCACCACACTCGCAAACGAGAACTGTGCGCCTTCCATTCGTCCTTGTGGACGCGGCCGTAGTGGACCTTCATATAATTCTCATTGGGCAACCATTGCCTGCACAACGCACACCGCTCGAGGAGCTCCTTTTTGAAGTCGTCATTCGGGGGGTTGAGCATGACCTCGGGAAACACAATTTCATCAGCAAGGACCTTGGCAAGCAGTGGGGGGTGGACGTCATCATAGCCAGCGCGCTCGGGGGCTTGGCATCGTCCAAGCTGCACATGTCGCTGTAATTCCTCCCATGTGCCGAACTTGTGCCCGCAATTGATGCACTGTGGGAGGCCGTCCTTACCATGAAGTAGACGATCGAAGCGCTCACCCTTGGCCTTGTTCTCGCCACTGCGATGGACCTTGGCACGATGTTGACGGAGTGATGCTGCCGTGGGGAAGCGTTCGCCACAATCAGGACAGGGCAAATCATCGGTGGCCCCCGTGTTGGAGGAGTCAGCCGCCAGTTCCTGTAAGCCGTGTAACACCTCAGTTTCATGGGCCAGCAGCGCGGCATCGAGCCTGAAGTCACCGGGGGAAAGCTTGGCGCGAAGCTGCTCCGTTCGGTCCAAAGTGTTCCGTTGCCTGTCGATGAGAAGCTGCAGAGGAGTTGGCATTCCCAGGTTGAGCAGGAATTGAGTGTCAGACTCCAGTGTCAAATGCCGTGGCCGTCCAGCTATGGCCCGAATCGGCCCGAAGTTGCCTGAGGAGTGCAACCCTAATGCATGAAGCACCTTTCTCAGTGAGTCCCGAGGCAGTTAGCGAGTAGAAGACCGTGGGTAGCACATAGGCCTTCCAGAGTCTCAGCCGTTTCGCCAATGGCCAGTGCGTTTAGAGTGAAGATGCTGGCGAAGCCGGTTGTAAGTGGCAACCCCTGCCTGGCAACGGTGCGTGGCATTAAGTTCTTCGAACCGACCAAAGGAGATGATGGCTCCAAGATATGTGTGCTGGGCCTTGACGGGTAAAGTGAGGTCCTGGTTCAGCCGAAGATGGTGCTTGCTCTCATGCTTTACAACGATCTTCCGACGATAGGCCTCGGCTTGAGGGCCCGCCAATTTGAGGAGAATATCTGTTTTGTCCTTACTCACCATGAGGCCTTGTTGTTCCAACAGGTTGATGATGGCCGTGGCTTCTGAGATCGCGGCTGCCACATCCTCTCGAGAGTGGAACGTCCACTTGAACAAGTTGTCATCGGCATATCCAATCAAGCGCTGCCTGCACCAATCAACCCCAAGCTGCTGCTCCAAAAGATGAGTGAGGTAAACAACCACACAGTTCCATAACGAAGGTGATAGCCTGCACCCCTGACGGATGCCCCGGGAAGTCGGGAACGTTTGCGCGTGGCCTTCTTTCTGCACTACATAGCGAACGGAGTGAACCCATCGTAGCAAAAGGGAGCGAAGACTGAGGGGGACACCAATGTGAATCAGAGCCTGCTCAAGGGGGTCCCGGCCCACTCTGTCGAAGGCCTGCGTCAGGTCGATGCTCAGCAACATGCCGCCAGCACATCCCTTTGCCTGGTGACCGGCAAACTTGTCGTAGAGGGATCTGTTCTGTGCCTGGCTGAGCGAGCGCACAGACTTGCAGTGGATAAAGGCGTGTCCAAGAGCCTGTTGCACCGATCTACCAGGTAGAAAGCCATATTGATGACGAGCTTCCATGTGGGGCAAGATGTAGGTGTCGAGCTGCTTTCGGAGTATTCCCGATACCGCCTTACCGACCGGGTCAAGTAAAGCAATCGGCCGGAGGTGCTCCGGTTTGTTCCCCGCCTTGTTGGCTTTCTGCAGAAAGGTGAGCCAGGCATCGGCCCAGGCAGTGGGTATGTGAGCGCCGCTAGAGCGCCATTCCTGAAGAAGTCCTCGTTCCAGGACCTGCGACACCGGCTCTGCGACACAGCTCCAAAGTGCATGAGGTGCGTAATGTGCCGGTGCAGCTTTGTTCGATGGCAGGCTTTCAAGGGCCTGTTGCACAGCATCCATTTCGAGGTCAAACGTCGTGGCAGACGGTGCCTGCACTGGGTCTTCGGCCGTTGTGACCTCTTTCCAGTACGATGCGAGTGCCTGGACTTCGGCCTGAGGCATAAGAATCGCCCCCGTACTCAAACGAAGCTGAGCTCTGGCCTTCGGTTGCTTGGGCACGTGCCTGCGCAGCAGAAAGAAGAGATGATCGATACGTCCATGGTGATCCTGTGCCTCCGCATGCCGTAGAAGTTCATCAAAGCGATGTCTGCGAAGGAGCCGGCTGTTACGACGTACGATTTGGTGCAGCTGGTGAAACCGGGCTCTGCACCGCCAAGCCCGAAAGCAAGCTCGAAGACCTGAAGCACATTTCTGAAATTGTTGTCGGGCCAGCCTGTACTGCAACCACATTTCCCTGATGGACCCTTCATGCTGTGCATCTTGCCATGGTGGGTGTAGCCCGCTCGGTCTCACAATGTGGAAATGATCCCTGCTCGCCTTCATGAGAACTTGATTCACACGATCAGGGCAGAAGTCATGCATAGCTTGGAGCTACCTGGAGACTTGTGCCTTGAAGTCCTGAACATCTGGCCCATCTGCTGCGATCCTGTCGGCTAGGAGCTTACACTTCCACTGCGGCCAAGCGGGCTGGGGTCGCGGCCGAGCGAATTGGAATCGGCGGAAACGCACTGTTACAAGCACGGGTAGATGCCTGCCACCACCTCTCCAGCGAGCCACCGGAAAGGTCACGAGCATACGTGCCGATGAGCTGAGCGTAGGACCTTTGCGTCGCACCAGCACGTAGTCCAGGAAGGAGCGGGCTTTTTGCGAGTGATGTTCAAGTATGTGTGTGTAGCTACCCTGCTTACCGAAGGTGTTCACTGCCTGCAAGCCGAAATCGTGGAGGATGGCCTCGAAGTCCTGTGCATCCGCCGACGGGGTCGGGTTGTTCGAACTCATACCTGTGCCAAAGAACGGGGCTTTAGGCTGCACCACGGTATTAAAATCTCCACATACCACAGGTTGATTGCCTCGGGGCAGCTGCCCCAAGGTTTGGCGAAGCGCTGCCCACACCTTCGATCGTTTGGCTAAGATGTCCGCTTCATTGCTCCCGCCACCCCATGCATGCAGATAGGCACCTACCACGTCCACCCATCCATGCTTATATTGTGCCCGTACGTGGAGAAGTCGTCCTTCCATCACGTGGGAGTAGCGCACCGAACCATTATCAAAGACCGACCGTCTCAGCATGATCATAACCCCAGCCTGCGCCCGCGAGCTCGTTGCTTTCATGCCGCTCTGAACGCAAAGCCAGTCCCCCGCAAAGAACTCCGAACACTCCTTCATCCATGTCTCTTGTGTAGCAACATCGCAATCACAACCGCGCAACCACGTGTAGAATTCGTCCTTTAAGGTCGAGAACCCTCCGCAGTTCCAGGTTATCACCGTGATCGCAGCTGAAGCCTGGGAACGAGTGCCCAAATCAATGAGGGGCCTCTGTTCATGCTGTCCGTGGTTGGGTAGATACTGGGCTCTGAGCTCATGAGCTTGCATGATACGACCACGATAGCGAGCAAAGCCATCCCGACCTGCTCTTGCCAATGCTCGTTTGTATGCTCTCTTTCGGGAAAAACTGTAGCTGTTCTGGCCTTTAGCACAAAATTTCGCAGCATCGGGCGCCTTGTTGTCATCACGATGTGTGCTGCTCCTCAAAGACGTGTGCTTCGCCTCTGAACCCTCACCTCTTGCTGTCTGGAGCACCCTGATGAGACCCAGACTTCACAGCCAGCGGACTTGGGACCGCTGCGGCCACATCGAGATCATGCTGTAGGTTTGCTGCATCTGCTGAACTCTGAACATGTAAATTGCCAGAAAGCATGCCAAATAGTGAGAAAATCGTGAAAAGCATGAAAAGAATACCCATGAAAAGTGGCAATTGCAAAAGACAGAGGCAACGACGGCTGCTGGAAACCATGCGAAGCTACGGCTACCGCTACCCCGCCCCAGCCCACCACTCGCAGCAAAAACAGTCTCGGGCCGAGAGGCTTCGTTGACCCCATTTTTTTGACTGCGCAGCGTCCTGAAGGTCGCCTGGCGTAAGCCTACGTGTGTCACACGGCAGCTCTAGGCTGCAAGCTTTGCGCCCCGTGCCGTAGCACCTAGCAAGCACAAAAAAGCGCCCCGTGCCGAAGCACTAAGCGAGCACTGATTTCACGACTTCAGTCCGAAATCAAATGCAAGAAAACTGTACGAAAGAGCTGTACGAAAGCAACTGTACGAGTGTACGTACCCCTACGGGGAAGACTGAGCTTGTTGTTACAGTCAACCCAAGTCCCTACCCTAGCAGCTCCGTCACTCAGCATGCGCACCGCGTCCGGCGCGACATGCGGCAGAGAGCACGGGTGCCCGTAGGAGTGGCGAGCCACATCCCCGACAGCATGCACAACCTCCTGCGTCCAGCGAGGATTGTACACCCGCGCTTGCCCGTGAGCCGTAAACTGCATCAGCCCTCAGCTCTCAGCCAAATCAAGTAAGCATTTCTGAAAAGGTGTTGCATGTCGCTGTGTTTGGCCCTTTTGGCCCGAGAGCCGTCATCAGTGATGTACCAACATGACTCCGATGCACTGTAAAGCATGGCCCTGTAGTGTCCAGAATTGACGGTCTGACCATAATGTGAAATAGCACCAATAACCGTGTATGAACAACTACGGGTTTCCAAACTGTTCTCATTCAGAAAGCAGGGAATCATGATGGACAAGCTTTGCAAACTCACCGACATTGTGTGCTTGAAGGCCTCATCACCATTATAGCCGAACCTTGCGAGGCATACACACAATACCTCCGGGGGTTCGCACAATGCATGTATAGCATCCTGAGCACTCCACTGATCCACCACTGTTTGCAAAGTACACTCCTGTACATGTGAGGGTAATGTCATCCAAACAGGCGAATACGTGTGGGCACGGTCTCTGAGCTCCAGACTAAGAAGTTTCGCATGCCATGATCCACTCAAAAATCGAGGCATCACCTGAGTAAATAAATGAGCACACCATTCTTGCACATCATGCTGAAGTCGCAGATTGGGCCATCCGCGATAAAAGCATTGCCAAGGCAGTAGCTCAAGAAGATTGAGCAGCCCCTTGCTCGTAAGAATGGCTCGGAGAGCCGGAGTCGCCGCACCTGCAAAGTACTCAAGATTATTGCTGAACGATGAAGCCCACGCCCACAGCAGAACCAGAGAGTTGATGTAACACACGTTGTGATTGTTCTGCAACCGCACTCCAAGGACCTGCCTCTGCGTCTTGGTCACGAACTCACCTGTAGCTGCGCCATGGCCTCCACTAGCTGATGTACCAGGGGTTGCCGCTTGAGGCGTTCGCCCCGAAGGCGAGCGCCCACGACCCTTAGAACCGTGTTGCCCTCCAGCTTTCGAAAAAGCTCGAACGTCCGATCCGCCAGAGCCCCTCTCGTGCTGATTGACAAGAGAAAAGGTAATGTGTCGCCCTCCATCTGCTCCGCCAACGGGCGCACGCTGTGGAACTTGTGCACCAGTTCTTCGGACTTGTCGAAGAGCGCCTGCTTGATCTCCTTTATGATCTCCGTCATCTCGCTGTGAGGGATCGCCGCTTTGGTGGAGTCGAGTTCCAACTTCTCCCCCGTCCAAATCATGTATGGCCAAGCTGGCTGCCCGAGGAGAGTGGTGAGCCAACCATGCTTGATCATGTTGTCCTTGGTCGGCTCGTGTGCAAGCATCTTCGTCAAGCGGCCTTCTAGCTCCATCATCATGCACAGAATCAAGGTTACGCGCAACGATTTGTCCACCGTCGGGGGCTGGGCTTCCTTGGCCTTCTTCCAGACCTGTGCCGACTCCCAAAACAAGTGAACCATTCCCTGGGGCCCCGTCTCGAAATGTAGCAGAAACTGCTTGTCCATCTTGAGCATCTGAATCTCGTTGTCCTGTTGAACCAGCAGCCGAGCAACCAAGTGCATCATTTGCTGAAGATCTTCTAAAGAAACCGTGGATGGTGCCGGAGCCGGTGCCTGTGTGTTCCAACGGTTCCCCCAGCCGTTGTTGAAGCGATTGCCTCGGCCTTTCCCCCAGCCTTTGCCCTTGGTATGCTTGGTCACTTCCAGATGCGGCCTCTTGTTGGAGCCGTTCTGCTCGACCTGCTCGGCGGCTCTTTTGGCTGCCATTTCCCGAAGCGCCGGCATCGTCGCTGCGAAGATGTCCATGAACTGGTCCTCCCCCGTCGACATGCTGGCCATGAACTTCTACAGGAGGAGCTGCCGGTAGCGAAATTTGCAAGGCAGATTGAAAGAGAACATGACAAACATGTGCATGCTGTGCTGCTCGTTTAAAGTTGCCTCCACAGAACTGACACGGACGTTTGAGACTGGCAGCCCACTGCGAACACAAATCCACCACCCCGGTCTTCGACTGGGACCATATGTTTGCATGATGTTGTTCCATGTGCCGTCGCAGCCCCCTCGCGGTGCATTGTTCATGGCACAACTGGCAATGGGTCGTCCAATGTTTGCTGGCATGTACATCAGGCAAGGATACTTCAGCTACCAGCCCTGGCTCCGCACTCACCGTGGTGACATCACCGCCTGAGGCTGCACTGCCCATCGCACGAACCATAGACAGTTGAAACAACACCGGACATGTGTCGGTATGGACCGAGCCTTTGGGCACAGACCGATGACACCATGCACAGGTACCTGTAATGCGTGCAAAAGTTGCTCTTCGCCATTGCAATGTGTGAGCTTCGTGCGCCTGCCATTCCTTCTTATGAACTCGCCCCCAATGTATCTTGATATACTTGGGATCGGGTTGCCATTGACGACACAATGCACAATGCTGAAGTAGTTCCTGCTTGAGCTCCTCGGTGACCGTTGCCAAGCTGATGTCATCGAGCTGAAGCGTGCCATCCCGAGCCTGATCCCAGACTGAAGCCTTGGCCTCAACCATGGTACTCGCCTCGGTGTCGGGTGTGCTCTGTTGACAAAAGTTCCCTGCAACATGTTTCTGCAAATCAGCCCACCGCAGAAATTTGTGCCCACACATGGAACACGTCGGCATTCCATCCACACCGTGACGTTGCCTGTCAAAGGTTGGCGCTGCAGTCTGCCGCCTCTCTGCACTATGGACCTTAGCCTTGTGTGCCCGCAAAGAACTGTAGTCACCGAACTCCGCATTGCAAACATCACACTTGTGAACAGTAGTGACGCTATCACTCTGAATGCAACGGTCCTTGAACTGCTGCAGAATGGTCTGCTCCCACTCCCGAACAGCCGCGCTGATTCGAACATCCTGTGTCGCTAAGTGATGCGTAAGCTCCGTTGTGCGTTCCACGGCGGCCTGCAATCTCTGTTGCACCATCTGTTCGGGAGTGACCATTGCCACCTTTCGCCAGAAAACTTCATCGGATTCCGTGATAACCTCTTCACCGGTTTCACCTCCCAGCCTGTGTCTGGGGCTGCGCGCGATGGCTCGCGCTTGCTTGGTCAACATGACGCGAAGTGCGTCGACCCCCTTGGGGAGAACACCGGAAGCAGTGATTGAGTACATGACAGTTGGGATGACAATGGCCTTCCATAGTCGAAGCCTCTTCTGCATGCTGGCTGCCTTGTCTGCCATGAGAAATTTGCGAACTCGTTGGAATGCCACTTTGCCTGCATGGACTCGGTGCTGCATGTTCTTGTGCTCAAAGTCCCCATATGTGATGCAAGCGCCTAAGTAAATGTGATCCTGTTTGAGTGGCAGGATGTAGTCCGGGCTGATTTTGAGGACTCGGCCGTCCTTGGCTTTGTCGATGAGCTGCCGCTTGATGTGTGGAGTCTGAACACCTTCAACCCGTAGCAGACAAACCGTCTTGTCCCGACTAAGTTTGAGACCCGCCTTTTCCAGGAGTTGTAATGCCCGATGTGCTTGTGCAAGAGCCTGATGTAGCTGCACCGCATCATGGATATCCCAACGAAGATGAGTATCATCAGCAAAGCCCACCAGATGATCGTTGCACCATTGGGACCCCATCTCCTGCTCAAGCAAATGCAGCAAGTACACCGAGATGCACACCCAGAGTGATGGTGATAAGCGACAGCCTTGTCTTATTCCTCGACTGGAGGAGAACTTGGCTTCAGCATCGTCCTGCACAACATGGAAAGTGGTAGTCTCTACCCACTGCATAATCAAGCATCGTAGGTTATCAGGGACCTTCAGATGTAGAAGGGCTGAGTTGAGCAGAGCGCGGTTGGCCCTATCGAACGCTTGTGTGAAATCGATGCTCACCTGCAAGCCCCCTGCGCAGCCCCCTCGTCGATGTCCCTGACGGATCGCATACAAATCTCGACCCTGTGCTTTCGCCCGAGCACGGGCATCGGCACAATGCCGATATACAATGCTCAGTGCCTGTTGCGACGATCGATTGGGCAAGTACCCAAAAAGATGTCTGTCCTCAACCCAGGGCTGCAGGAAAGGCATCAAATGTTGCTTGATGATGCCGCTCATGGCCTTCCCCGCTGGCTCCAACAAGGAAATCGGCCTGAGATCTCCGGGCTTATTGCCCGGCTTGTTAGCTTTGTTCAAGAAGGTGAGCCAGGACGCCGACCAATCCTCAAAGACCTCGGCTTCTTCGTCACGCCATTTGCTGAGAACCTGAACATCCAAGAACTCGGCAACAGGACCTGCTGCAATCTGCCACAGCGCATGTGGTGCACAATGAGCCGGTGCCGCTTTGTTGCCCTTCAGCGAGAGCAGAGCATGAAGTAGTTCCTCTCGTGACACATGATAGGCATGCCGTGGTTGGTGGCTGGGTGGAGCCTGCCCATCACTGCCCGCACAGATCTCCTTCCAGAATGTCGCCAGTTCCTTGACTTCCTCAGCCGGGCACAAAAGTCGGCCGTTGGGGGATCTCAGCTGTGTTCGTTTCTTGGCCTGCTTGGGAGCCCACTTCTTGATCAAAGTAAAAGTGGTCGATGCCCCGTCGACCTGATCGCAGCGCTCGGCTGCCGTCAGCAATTGATCAAAATGTGATCGTCGGAGCTGCCGGCTGTGTTTCTGAACCGCCCTGTGTAACCGAAGGAATGCCACTTGATGACGCCAGGCCTGCAAGATGGCCCGAGTGCCAGGGAGACACCGCCTACGCTTCATCAACCGATAATGTGACCACATCTGCTTAATCAAGTTGGTGTGTGCATCTGCTGTCCAAGCTGGCGGCTGCACTCTTGGTCGCTGAATATCGAAGACCTGTTTCCCCACCTGCAACAGGATGTCATTCAAGAACTGTGGTTGGTATTCGATCTCTGCCTCCAAGCGCTCCTGAACCATGGCCTGGAACTCCGCAGCCTTCTCGGGGTGGTCCTTTGCCGCCTGCTGTAACAATTTGCACTTCCACACTGGCCATTCTCGGGGAGTCTTACGAACCTGGTGATGGTAAGGCCTGAGGGTGACAGCCACGACAATGGGCAAGTGCCGCCCTCCTTCACGCCATCTTCCAACCTCGAAGCCCGCAAGCAAGGATGCTGAAGACTGTCCTGATTGACACTGTCGCAGCAACCAATAGTCAACAAACGATTTGCGATGGACCTTGTAGCCTTCATGAACGTAGGAGAACGCCGTGGGCCTACCAAAAGTGTTCACAGCCTTCAGCTGAAAGTCCTGCACCAACTGTTCCAAGCACTCGGCATCCGGGGAAATCTGGCCCTTCTGCAGCATGCCACGACCTATCCAAGGATGCATCGGTTTCGCTGACGTGTTCAGGTCACCTCCAGCAATGAGAAAGTGGCCCTTGGGAATCTGGCCAAAGGTGTCCCTGACCTTCTCCCAGATCGCTGCCCGCTTGGTGAGCAATCGGTCCTGATCCGAGGCCAAGCCCCAGCTGTGCTGATAGATGTTGACCACATTAACCCAGCCTCCCTTGCACAGCGCCTGCACGTGAAGCACCCTGCCTGGAACTACATGGTGAAAGCGAACATGCGACTGATCAAAAACATCTTTGCGAAGCAACACCATGACGCCTGCTTGCGCTCTCGCCACTCCCTCACCGACGCCCGAGTTGATGCAAATCCACCCCCTGTCAAGAAAATCCATGTCCGAACGATACCAAGTCTCTTGCAGTAGAACAATGCTGTAATCACTGCCGTGCTCTTGAAGCCAGGTGTGTAGCTCATCCTTAAGGTTGTTGAGCCCGCCACAATTCCAGGAGAAAGCCCGCAATGAAAATCTGGATCCACTTTTGCATTGGGACCTGCTGGCTGCTGGGATGTTCAGCACTTCGGTCTTTGCGGCTGCATTGTTGGACACATAGGACTTTCGAAGAGTTGCCAAGCTGAGCCATTGACCCCTGTACCAAGCACTGCCGTTCGCCTCTGCCCTGTTCAAGGCACGTTTGTAGGAGCGTTTTCTCGCAAATGATAAAGTGATCCCACTCCTTTTCGCCTGCTTCTCCAAGGTGTCCCAAGTCGTCGTCGGCTTTTTGCCGGCGTCTGCTCGCCACGGCAGTTCCTGCCGTGAGAGCGAAAAGGTTGCACACGGGTACCCGAAACCACTAGGGGGAGGCACTAAACCCTAAACCACTAGGGGGAGCGAGGTAAAAGTGCTGAAGCCGCCTCTCCGGGCGGGCGGGAGGGGCCGAAAGTTCTCAGAGGTCGAATGTGCTCATGCGGTTGGGATATATTGCATCCCACTCCTTTTCGCCTGCTTCTCCAAGGTGTCCCAAGTCGTCGTCGGCTTTTTGCCGGCGTCTGCTCGCCACGGCAGTTCCTGCCGTGAGAGCGAAAAGGTTGCACACGGGTACCCGAAACCACTAGGGGGAGGCACTAAACCCTAAACCACTAGGGGGAGCGAGGTAAAAGTGCTGAAGCCGCCTCTCCGCTTCCACAGTCCTTGCCGCTCGCGGCACAGAAGACGCGGTTACCGGCGAACGCTTGCACACTCGAGGAGCCGACCGGCAAAGCTGCTAAGAGTAGCTATGCGCTCTCGGGAGGACGCTGGGAGCTGTTGAAGGAGCAACTGAGCAGCCACCTCCTGGAGGTAGAACTCGACCGTCTTGAGTTTACTCCAGCGGCCTCTCCAAGCCACCAACTGCACGTCTTCGGTTTCCATGTAAAGGTGCGTAGCGCCGCTCCCACGCAGCACCCCAGGTGTTGCCCCACGCTGCGCCTGAGTGTGGGGCACTTCAAGGCGCGACATGATGGCATTCCATTGGTTACGGTAAGTGCTGAGAGAGCCCCGAAAGATTCGCTCATGCAAACCTAAGTGCTGGTACCTGGCCACCAGAAAACGCAAGGTGTGGGCATCCTCAAGTCGAGAGTGTTGCCTCCGAGCGAAACGGGCCGTCTTAGGGTTGCGCACATGAATGTAAGCCAGCACGTCCGATGACATCATGTCTTCAGGGAGCACGAGGTCGCTCCGCTGCAGACACACAAGCTCGGAAGGATGCAGCATACACAAGAAACCCACTAAGGTGACAGCGACCCAGTCAAACCAACCCCAAAGGAGCCCTACAGAAACCGAAGCTAGGAGGATAGGCTTGGAGATCACCGGCCTGCATTCGCCAGGTTCGACATGCTGCCATTTCTTGTCGATCTGCCACGCAGGCGTAAGGTGATTGCGGAATGCCGGAAATGCGTCTTGAACGGCCGTAATGGCATACACAAGCAAATAGCGAGGATGACCTTCGGCATACAGGTGAAGCCCGAAGGCGCGCAGCGCAGTAGCTGCCGACTCGGCGCACGACATAGCCGCAGAGAACGAGAGGTTCAAACTGACGGCTAACCACAGCTTAAAAGCATCCAGGCTCTTCGTCATCTTGTGACGAGTGGAGGCAGCAAAGCCGGACGACAAGTCGAGAGGCCCACGAGGCTCACGAACAACCGGGCCTGGATGGCGTTCGATGTCCCCGCCTAACAGCAGTAACAGCCGGAGCCACCGACCCGCAAGCTTAGGTACTCTGGCAGCTGCGAGGCAAACGTCGAAGCGGTAAGTCTTGCCCTCACAAAGCTCACTGAGCCAAACCGGCCACTCTTTGGACGGCGGAGCCACACTTCTGCCCCGCGAAGGACCATCGCTGCGGTTGGCCTCGGAGTAAACGTGCAACCCACCAGGGTACAGGCCTCCGCCGAGTACGTACGGGAGAGCAGTGAGGAGCACGCGGCCGAGGGCCGCACTGCTCGACCTGCCCTTCGCTGCAGCCCCTAAGAGAACCCGACTATCTATCAACCCTAATGCCCTCGATCGACGATGCCGGCGGCACAAGAACTTAAGCCAAGTCTTGTAAGACCGGGCCTCTTGAACGTTGATGTGCCCCTGCCGTGCAAAGCGATAACGGAGGATTTCAGAAAATTCAAGACAATCGGCGAGCTCACCGATCCACTCCGGATCGTCGTGGAAGGCCCTGAGCTCGGCAACATCCTCCGGACTGTTTTCGTCAGCGTCAAAACAGACCAACCCTAGCTTGCGAGCGCACGCCATCTGCGCCGACAGAGGTAGAGGACGACCGAACCCCCTCTTGGCCTCAGCACTCTCAGCGGCCAAGCGTTGGCAGAGACGCACAGGCGTGACCGAGGCCAAGCTATGCAAACTCTCGCCGGCAACCGGTTCGCGACCGAACACCGCCGAAACACAGGGCCGGCACCGGTCAGTGACAGCTTGAGCACGCAGCCCTGTGAACGAGCCTTCCGCACGAAGATGCGGCTCCGTACAGGTACAGGTCGCGCCTCCCACGGCTGACAAAACCCAAGGTTTGTTGTGGAGCCAGCACGAAGGTCGCTTAAACGGAGAACCGAAACTACAGCTACAGACCTCTGAAACGGCAGACCCTAGGTAGGCCAAAGTCCTAAAACCGTTAAGGCCGAAGAGAAGACTGCCCTCACCCTGCACCACACTGAAGAAACGCCCCGTCCTGTGGATCAAGGTCAGCAGCAAACTCAAGCGCCGAGCCAGGCGGTTGTCAAGCGCCACCGCAGGGTGTTCAGGACTAAACCCGAGGGGACAACCCAGGGACCTAAGCTTAGGGGACCGGAAAGGGCTGAAGCTACGGGCTGCAGGCTCAAAGTGCCATTCACGGATGATGCCACGAGCCGCTAGTGCTGCCAGCTGTGACCAAACAGCGCAATCAGCCAAATCTGCAAACAAGATGGGACGCCCGGCAGTGTGAATGCCCGGGTGAGCAACTAAGCCTGCGGCTGCGTGCGCTGCAGCCCACGTGCCCCCAGTTGAAAAGCACTCAAGCGTGTCGTACAGAACCCCCTCGCCCATAGCGGGAGGCAAAGGAAACACTGCCGTCGGGGCCTCAACAGGCTCGGCACCAAACACGGCTTCAGGCTCGAGGCCCTTTTCACGCAGAAGTGCAGCAGCAGGCGATTCTAAGCGAGTGTAGTAGCCCTTTTGCTCGGAATGCCTCCACAGCTCAGCAACCACGGAGGCCGGCAGTGGAGCCGCACAGATGCCCGCGCCCGTGGGAGACGCATCCATGCAAAAGGCGGCCGGTGTAAAAGAAACCCGCATGTCCGTCTGAACAATAGGTCCCAGAATCACCAAAGCTTGCAGCTCATTAAGAGTGTTGCGGCTGAGGGCGAACACCGAAGTGGCAGGAGTGCGCCTGCTGTCGGCAAACGCACAATCCAAGAGAGCAAGCATTGGCCGGCGATACATAAGGACATGAATCCAGAGCCCCAGCAAAGACGCTAAGAAAGCGCCCGAGCACGTGCCGCGACGCACGACCTCGGCAGTGATGGTCATCAGCACAGCAATCCGATGTCTAGGAGCGGACACCAAACCTTTGATGCCATCAATTTCGGCACCGAGGCAAATGCAAGAAGTCTGATACCGGCGGCGTTTGCGCGGATGTTGCACCAAACCAACCTCAGCGTAAGCACCCTCAGCCTTACTGAAAATTTCAGAATCGCGCTTCGGCTCACCACGAGCCAGCTCTGCACGCGTGACCTTTTGAGCCACCACGTGGTCGTCGATAGCGAGGTACTCGGCCGTGTCACCACGGGGGTACGGCATGCGATAAGCAGCAACCTCAGAAGCACGCATGGAGCCGGCTAGAGTAGCCAAAACGTTGTAGTGCGATTGCTGGGCAATTTCCACCGCCATAGCATCTCCCATAGCGAGCGCAGCCAGTGACAGGTAAACCGGAACGGAATGCAAGGCAGCAGAGAAGCATCTGAAATGCGAGACTTCCCAAGGTGCGAACTTCATGCGGATGGCGTTCCTTGCAGCTCTCAGAGGAGGCACCCGAAACGTGTAGTACATCTCGGATAGATCATCCGCCGACACTCGGAGGCACTCGCCATCGCCAAGGTGAGTGAGTCCAATCAGATTTCCGGGGGCGAGGTACCTAGTGAAGTTACTGTAGCCATTAGAGCGCGAGTTAATCACCGTAGGATTGATGATAAGTCTATCCCACTCACGGTCCTTAGTGATGGCAAACACTCCTACAGCTTCACGCTCCTCGACAGCATCACAAGGAGTAAGAGCAAGGGCTCCAACGGCATCCCACTTAGCTGCAAGTTTCAACAACTCAGCTCGAGAGCAATGAACCTTTGCAGCACGCGTCTTGGGCCAGTCATGCGAAGGTTTCCTCAGTACGTTAGGGTTATTGTAGGCAGCTTTCACAACTGGGTCGGAGAGGTACTGGGCAGCGTCAAAAGCAGGCGGGTGCTCCCAACGAATGCGATCAGCTTGAACCTCTTTATACCGAGCACCTCCAGTCGTGGAACAAACCCCTAACTCGCCAGAAGATGAAACCCCAGCTGACGAAACATGTTGGCTACCCCGGGACTCTAACTCGCAAGGAGGCTGGGGTCGAGGAATGTCGGAATCTCTACCTCCGTAGGGGTCGAACTCAGCATGCAATGCAGAAACAAATTCGGGAAGGTCCACACCTGAGGCCATGTTGGGATCTCTAGGCAGTTCCTGTGCAAGTCGGAGCAACTGAGCAAAGCGTTCCTCAGCTCGGCCTAAAGAAGCAGCTTCCAAAGGCGGCGCAGACACAAAGTGTTTTATGTGGCGCTCGAGAATGCTCTGCATGTCAAGTTGCTCGTCTGAAATTGCAGCTCCAACGCGCGCTTCGGGCGGGCACTCCAGCGGACACCCCAGAGACAACCAACTTAAGGTGGCAATCACACGCTGAAGCATGGCATGAATCAACTCATGAGTGCGCTGGCGGTGCCGGCGGCGCGGTGATAGCTTGTAGCCCGTCCATCTCCGGGGCGGGGGACAGGGCCAGAGAGTTTTGTTGCCAGGCTTTTGTGAAGCTGACTGTACGATGCAGGCGTTCGGGGAACTAAGGGCGGAGCGAATAAACCGATTAAGCCCAACCCTCGCGGAACCCGAAATACTTAAACAACTATGCAACCAAATTTGGAACTCCAAAGGCTTATCTGGCAGGCCAGGGCAAAACTCATCCGGCCGCGACTTGTCGCTTGATAAAGCCTGGGCACCAACCGAAAAAGGCCCGGCAGGCAAATTAAATGCATCCAAGGATCCGGCCGTCTTCGCGGCGGAATCCGGTGGGCACGAGGCCCTAGTCACACTGTGCTCGGCACGAGCGGACTGCTGTGCGACCTTCGGCTGAAGGCCAGTCCCGCGTGATTCATCGTGATGGCGGGGCTCGGGCGGCAAGTGACTCATCCCTGCGGCTTGTCGCCTGTGTTCTTGGGCTTCCGGGGCGGCCGCCTGGGACGAGTGGCTTGCTCCTCCGTCTCGTCCTTGGGATCGGTGGTCTGATCGGCTCCTCCTGGGGTGCGGTTGCGCATGCGCGCCTCCAGAAAATCGACATCCTTCAAGAAAGCCACCTGAGCGGCTACCCAAGGAGCAGCGGACAGGCGCCCGTACGGGCGAAGATCGCCCTTCCGATGAATCAGGTGGCCTTGGTCCACATCCGGAAGGCCTCCCAGGAGCCACCCAAACTGAGTGCGGCCGCCGTCGACGGCGAACTGCTCCGCCATCACCAGGCCCCTCGCTGCCCAAAACTCGCCCCGTTGATTGCCGGTGCGGCGCATGTCCTCCCACATGTGCCCCAGCAGAAAACTGAAAAGCTGCACCGTCTTGAGCTCCTTCAGGGGAACCTTCCTCTCGAGATAGTGGCGCATCATCGACGGCTCCTGATTCTCCCAGCCCAGCTCCGTCTGAGCCCGAGCGGCCACCGATTCGGCGAACTCCCGGGGGCGATCGAAGATCTTCAGGTAGGCATCGCGGGCTGCCATTCCCCTGGCGCCGGAGCTGCTGCCGCCGACGCTGTCCGAGCCGGAAGCCCCGCCCGAAAGGGCCGCAGCAATGGGATCCACGGCCTTCGGTGCCATCGCTTTCTCCAAGAGCTTCGCCTGAGTAGCCAGAAGTTGCAGCAAAGCGGGGCTGCCCTCGGGAATGTCCAAAACAGCTTCGGCCGCCCCCAGCTCCTCTTCCGCCAACTCGGTCTCGGCGATCGTTGTGGTGTGCTTCCGCTCGGCCCGCTCGTGGGCAGCCAGACGAGAAGGAGCCGCTCCGGCAGCAGAGCGAAGCTTCTGCCACTCGTCGTCGGTCAGCGCCCCTCCCAAAGGCTCGGCAAACAAGGGCCGGGCCGACTTCAGAGCTCCAGGTCGAGCAGGAGGTTGCTGAGCAGCAGCCCGGACATTGGCCTCGAGTTCCCGAACACGACCGCGGAGCGCCTCGACTTCGGTGATCTCGGGGGCTTCGGCAGACTCGTGGTCCGGCTCCTCCTCCTCTTCGGCACCCTCCTCTGCGGTGGCGTACTCCGCAAGGCTCGCATCTGAAAGCATCTCGTTGACCCAAACTTCCGAAACTGCCACGGCACTGGGACGCAAAGGTCGGACCACAGCCTCGCCTGCTTTTAAAGTGATAAGTCGAAGGCCCCCGGCTGCTCGCGCGGTGCCCGAAGCGGCACGCCTGAAGAAGTCGAGGAAAGCCCAATCGAAGTCGGCGATCAAAGCAGAAGAAGAGCCGGTAGGTCGGCGTCGGGACGTCTCGGTCTCGACCGCGATGTTCTTGAAGACCGGAACGGCCCCCAAAGTGTCGTCTTCCTCCGAGACGGCTTCCTGAAGGCGAGACACCACCTCGGCAGCGTCGGGAAGAATCACCATGAAACCGTTCAGCCGGTAGCGAACCAAAAACGCTAAGGCTCGCCATTCTGGAGCCTCCCCTTCACCCAGCAAGTAAAGTACAGGCAGTGGTTGTCCAGCCAGGACCTCGTCCACTAACCGGCGCACGGTGGCCTGGTCGACCACCGGCCCTAGACTGCGGGTGGCCATGGGCAACCCGAGGCCGCGCAATAGGCTTCGGCTTCGGTTCGCGATGGGAATGCGTGGCTCACACTGTAGGGATCGAAGGTCTCGCCGCCAGCTCCTTGCACCAGTGACGAATACACCCGGTAGCTGGTAGTGGTAAACCCCTGCGGGCGGCTGCGGCAGCGAAGGCAAATGTAGATGCGATTCGACAAGCCCACAGACGGTGAAGAAGACACTGCCGAGATCACACCCGAAAGCTTGCGAGCAGCAGTGAGCCCAGCTCGAACAGCACGAGCAATACGAGCTCGAGCTGTCCAAGGTCCGCCTGCACCGGTCAAGCGCCTGGCAAAGTACTCGTGAGGTCCCAGATCGGCAGCCCCAAGTGATGTCGGAGACTCCAAAGCAATAAGTCTGTCCTCCCACGAAGCAGTCGCTTCCTCCGAAGCTGGGCTCGAAGCCCCAGCAAGGGGTACTCTGGCAAGCTCAGGGAGCTCGGTGGCCGAAGCAGCTGCCGCAGTAGCCGAAGCAGTAGCAGTAACTGGTCCGGAGCTAGGGCGGCGCCGGATGGTGATAGAAAGGCCTTGGAAAGCAAACTCGAGCTCTTCAAGCTCACTGTCCGGAAGCCGCTCACCCATTCACTGATTGCGATATTCCCTGAAGCGCTGCAAACCGGTCGCAGACAGAGCCGCAGCTGGAGCAATAGGTCCCTCAAGGATGGTGGCTCCCCAGCGCACAATGTGTGCACAGAAGCGCCTGCACTGAAATGAAAGCAGCAAACAGGTGCCAAGAGCACCGCAGCAGCACCCAATCCAGAACAAGCAAATGGCCGCCAAGGCTAAGAGAGCGAGCGAAGGGCTATGGCAAGGAGCAGTAGAAAGTCTAAGCTCGCGAGCTAGGTCGGGGAGAACCGACCACATCAGCCGAAAGTTCTCAGAGGTCGAATGTGCTCATGCGGTTGGGATATATTGCAAACCGTGAAGGCCTGATGCACATTGTTTCGCGACTGAAGTGCCGACTCTTACCATCGATGTCCTGTCGCTCCCAGGAGCCCCGTGCACAAGCTCCAAACCCTCGTCTCTGCTGCCAGCTGAAATGCCCATGTTAGGCCTCACATGTGCAGCCCGCGGAATTGGGACCGCGGCGGCCAGATCATGATCAAAAGTGTATGCTGTGCCCACTGTACTTGACTGCATGCCAAAATCGCCATGTGAAGTGCTCGACATGAAAATCCAGAAGAGAAATCCAAGCATGAAAATCGGCAATGTAAAATGGAATGCAGCAAAAGGGAAAAGTCGACGTGGAATACAGCAGCTGAAAACCATGCGCTCTACGGCAAGCTACAGCTACCCCACCCGTACTCACAGCAAAAGTGCTCGGGCCGAGAGACTTCGTTGACCCCATTCTCACTGAAGTCATCGATGGGCCGCCACTTGCCCTGCCACACAGCGAACCTTCTGCACGGCATCCAGCCTTGAGGAAAAATCGAGTCCACTTCTGCGCGAGAAAGCGGGCCATGCAGCCACCGCTTGCCTTTAGGGTCGGCCTCCTCAAGCGTGATGCCCCAAAGGGGTTCGGAGTATTCCTGAGGCGATGCACTATCTACTCGCTTCCACGTTGCGTCCCTTTGAGCAGACGCTGCCATCCAGAAGTCGGATTCGGAAGAAATAGCTGGCTTACAGTCTGGATCAAAGATGCCAGTCCGGAGCTGAGACCCAGTAAGCTTAAACCCCTGAGTTAGATCATCCCATATGGTGATGTCGGGCCAATTAAGGGAGGAGGCGATCTTCTTCATCAAGAGGACACGCTTGTTGCCAAGCGCGGCTCGCACGTCAGGGTGAAGGCTTGCACGAACTTTTTCTTCCTCGGGGGCCAGCTCGGATGCCCACTTTTGCCAAAGAACTATGACATTAAGCCGGTGTCTCATGACTCCGACTGGACCCTGCACCAGGATAAAGTGCAGCACTTTAAGCATGCCATCTGGGAGACCGCGACACGTGTCAAAGGGATGCTTGAGGAGCTTGGCTTGACACCCTGTTGCCCACTCCACACTCATCTTCAGGAGCTGCTGCCGGCGCGGCAACAGCGTCGGCGCCCTGAAACTGATCTCCTCTTGGAGCGTCCGGCCTGAAGGACCGCTGGCGAATCTTGCCAAGCACGGTGTCAAGAGACCTAAGAGGGGCCGCTTGGGAGTCGGACTCGTAAAAGCAGGTCCGTTCCAATGCCAGCACGAGGAGAAACATGGTATCCCAATATGCACCTGACATCCCTAGCAACCCCCCATTTGCAGCACCAGCTCAAGTGGTCCGTTTTCATGAGTGCGTCCCGATCGAAGTGGCCCTGGGGCCCGAAACCTTGCTTCTCTCCTCATCAAGAACTTGCCTTTCTGGCCTCTCAACCTCGGCGACAAGGAGGGGCTCCCTCTGGCACAGTGGTCTCCATGTAGCTTTAGCCGATAGGCCGACGACTCCACCAGACATGAGCACTGCATCGGCTGACCCAAGCCCAACCACGAACTTCGCAACCAACCGAAGAAAGAAAACTCCTGAAAGCCGTGGGGGCCGCGGTTGCTGCCGCTTGAAACGAAGTAGTGATGCACAACAGGCTCGGTGAGCGGCAGGGCAACAACACCTTGCTTCGTGGTCCACAAGATGAACCTCAAGAAGTGGTTGGCACGCGTATGCAAGGTACTGGATGCTTTGGTGGACATGCACTCCGCTATGCTCTGCGAAAGCGAGCCAGAGCCGAACCCCAGAGTCCTTGATTCAAAGCAGTTCCTGGCCACCATGAAGCACATGGAGGCCTTCAGTACTATCTGCAACCACTTCTTGATCGCAGGCGAAGGGCTTCTTGATGACATCACCCTCTTTAATCATTTCTCATGCAGCTGGTCAAGCTTGAGCTTCTCACAAGCAGACTCACCGGGCTGGGAACCTGCGGCAATAGCATTCTCTTCGGCAAAGATTGTCAAAGGCATCGGGCCTCTCGGGCGCAAGGGCTTAGGTGCGGACTGATGAGAGCCCTCGGTCTGTTGGCCCACCACCGGAATGCCTACGCAATGCCCCTCAGACCGGTTGCCTTTTCTCGCGCGGCCTTAGTGTCTCTGCCGTTGATGCCTTCTTACGGGAACGTCATCGTGCTACTGGTAAGCAGCACGCTGTCGTTGGCCTGCTTTATCTTGCCCACGAAGTCGCACAGCCCAATGTCAAGGTTGAACACCGGCCTTGCTCCTGTGGCCTTTGTCACCGCCCTCTGCAGCATTCCTGCTGGTGCCTACCTGACCGCCCATGTGCGCCAGTACTCTACCGATGCCTTGTATGTGCAATTTGATGGTGGGTTTGCAAACGACACTTAAATGCCGGAGGTGCAGGCGTTGCGGTGTGGTTTTTTTTTGGCGTGAGCGGGCCTCGTCGACTACGGCTGTAGCACTCGGTCCCTACAAACGAAACAAACCAACAAACAAGACACAAAGACAGCGGTGAAACAGGCGGCCCTAGAGGAAGGCAAAAGAGCTAGCTGCGGCGCACAGGCTTTGCCGGTGTTGGCCGTTCAGCACAAGCTACGGGGCCTCAGCGACCGATCCACAACAGCAGAAGGCCGTCGCCAAAAGCTGTCCAAGACAACCGGTGGAGCCCTAAGTCAAAGCTCCGGCCGCCGTTCTAGTTCCGTCGAACAACGGTCAGCCCCGGAGTCCTGTTGTGTCTCGATCGTGCACGGAAAGTCCACAAATCCAGACCTATTGACCCAACGACGTATGTCGACGGTCGCTGTGCGCTGGCATGTGGGTGACGCCTTTTTACTGGGTGCGGTCAAGTGCCGTCTGCGGCGGCCAAGAATCCAGCAGGCGTTGCATGTCGTTGCCGCCAAGCGGAAATTGGGACTCGTGCAGAAGGTACAACATTTGGAAATTGCGCTCCGCATACATCTCACGTAAACGGGTGAAGCTGTACCTGTGCATATCCAGATCGGGCTCATGGAGGTGCGGCATGAGTTCCGTGGAAATGAAAGGGATTTGTATGCCAGGGCCGAGTCCACCCTGCGCCAAGAAGGCGTCAGCTTCAGCTTTCCAGCGTTCTTGGCCCCAGGGGTCGCCTAGGCGACACCAAGCGCGGTTCCCATCAGCTACCGTCTTATCTTTTTTTTTGGGGCTTGACTGGGCCTCGTCGACTACGGCTGTAGCACTCGGTCCCTACAAACAAGCGAAACTAAAAATCAAACAACAAACTACAACAAAGCGGTGAAACAGCAAAGCGAAGCTCTACAAAGGGCTGCGGCGCACAGGCTTTGCCGGTGTTAGCCGTTCAGCACAAACTACGGAGCCTCAGCGACCGGTCAGGAGCAACAAAGAGCCGTCGCTCAGAGCTGCCCAAAACAACAGGCGGAGCCAAGTCCAGGCTCCGGTTGCCGTTCTAGTCCCGCCAGACAACGGACAACCCCTGTGTTTTGTTCCGTCACGATCGCGCACACCAAAATCCACAAGTCCATGGCCCACTGCAGCGTGGGCGGCTTCCGGATAAGGAGTGCGAAGACCAGTGCCGCAGGCAAGCAACCCGCTCATGCAACCGCCGTCATCGACCTAGGCGTGCCAAGCGCCAAGACGGCGCTCTGAAGCAACACTGGCAACCAGTGTGGGCACACCCACACGGCAACCTGCCGGAGTCCTACCAGTGACAAAGTTGCTCGACCACGACACTCAAGTGCACATGGCCGCCGCCGCCAGCAGAATCAAATCAATGTCGCTAGCCGTGAGCTGGAACACTGGGTCAGCCGCTAAGACAGGCAGAGATCGCCAAGGTGGACATTGACGCGCAGGTCACACGCTTCCACAGCATCGTCAAACCGTTGTGGCGGCCATGGCAATTGAAGACACCATTCGGAGGTGAACAAACACGATGGACAGGTGAAGGGGCGAGCGACGTATGTCGCAGGCAGGCGGCGAAGCTTAGGAGCACACACCCTCCCGTCTCGAACGTGCACACCAGAGCCCAAGTCCGAGCTCAGGGTGATGGTGCAGCAACATGGTAACG